CTCCCTTACTCCCTCATTCCTCCCACTCCCTCCCTTGGGCCCTTCTCCCTCCCCAACCCCGCATGACCATTCCCCCACCCATGGTTCTAATAAACTTTTTTTGGATTTTTTTTTTTTTTTTTTTAATCAGAGTTGAGTTTGAGAAAGGAGAAAGGGGAAAAAAAGTGTTCTATGAGAGAGGCCTAGAGGCAAGCATGCCTGCCACAGCTGTGCTCAGGACACATCACCCTATTCCAATCAGGAGCTAAGACTGATTTTTCAGAGCTGGACTTTACTCAGTTCACCTTTACTCCAAGGTAGGTTCCCAATCTAAGTCTCAGGTATTTACTAGGACTTGTCCTCTTTGGCAGAGCCTCCTCAGTCCTGAGCAGTCAAAGGCGCTACTCAGTTTTTTAGCCACTGTTCTTAGAATCAGCAGTCAACCCAGGTTTGGAAAAGTGATGGAAAACAGGCTCACTTTTCATGGCACCCTTTTCTTGCACCACCAAATTCTTACTTCCTGGGTACTTCTTAAATGCATTCATGTTTTTCTATTTTCTCCAGTTGTTCTTAGTGGTGGTAGTGTTGGGCCAAAACAAGAAGGCCATTGCCTCTATATATTACCTTAATAGAAAATGTTGTCATACCACATGTGGTGTTTTATAAGCTATCTAGCTAGATTGTTTTTATATTTTGAAAAGTTTTTTAAATGTGGAACAATATGCTGAGCACATGCCTGTAATCCCAGCGGCTCAGGAGGCTGAGGCAGGAAGATCCTGAGTCAAAGCCAGCCTCAGTAATGATGAGGTGCTAAGAAACTCARTGAGATCCTGTCTCTAAATAAAATACAAAATAGGGCTGGGGATGTGGCTCAGCGTTGGAGTGCCCCTGAATTTAGTCTCCAGTACTCCCCCCTCAAAAAAAGTGTAGAACAATATTTTTTATCATAGTGCTCTTATGAATATCCCTATACATCTACTACCTACAAGGAACCTGCTATATTCTCAAACACAACATATTTGATGTCTTAAGATATCCCTCATGATCTCTGTCCCATAGTGTTGTCCTATGTAATTCCTACCTCTTGAATACGGATGGGACTTAGAATACAGCAAAGATGAAGGGATTTTACTATCATGGTGACATTTCATTATATATGAATTTGTCTTAGCAGTCTTCCTGCTAGCCTTGAAAAGGCAAGTTGACATGTTGTCAACTGCTTATGGAAAAGGACACAGGGCAGGGTAGCAGGAAAGCACAGATAACTTGTAGGCCCTGAGTGTAATGGCCCTTAGCTGGGAGCCAGTAAGAAGCCAGGGTCCTTAAATAAAACACATGGAAATTAATTCTGCCAACACAACCTGAGAGAGTTTAGAAACAGATTCATCCCCAGTCAAGCCTCCAGATGGCCTGACTTACACTTTATTGTAGCTTTGTTAGACCCTGAGCAGAGGAACTAAGCTGCACATGGACTCCTGGTCCACATAAACTAAAAGACAGTAAATGTGTTTTAAGCTACTAGGTTTATGGCAACTTATTACACAGCAAAAGTAAACTAATATAATAAAATATTGCTGGATTATTTCATGAAGTAGTTGTACCAAGTTTTATGCTCCACAAACAGTATAAGATTCTCTTCTCTACACACCCTTGCTAACATTTGGAAATGCCTGACTTTTTAAAATGTTTGCCAACCTAATYGAGGTGGAAATTTAAAATAATATAAACTGTGTTGATATTATTATTTGAATGTAGAAATATGAAAAATAGGTATTTACTTGAAATCATATATTGTTACATGCTATTAAACAAAATAGCAATAGCACTAAAAGTGGCAAGAAGTAATAATTAATTGAAATACCAATTAAGTAAATAATAGGTTTGACAAAATATGACAATATTTTTTATAATGTTTTTGTCCTCTGGTATAGCAATTTAATTCATTATTGCATATTTAAATTTTGTAAGCTATATTTTTCTATATTCTTTTTTTTTAATATTTATTTTTTAGTTTTTTCGGTGGACACAACACCTTTATTTTATTTTATTTTTTTAAGTGGTGCTGAGGATCCAACCCAGCGCCCTGCACATGCCTGGCAAGCACACTACCGCTTGAGCCACATCCCCAGCCCTATATTCTTTTTTATTTTAAATATTTTTTTAGTTGTAGTTGGACACAATACCTTTATTTTATTTATTTATTTTTATGTGGTGCTGAGGATCGAAYCCAGTGTCTTGCACATGCTAGGCGAGCGCTCTACTGCTGAGCCACAACCCCAGCCCCTCTATATTCTTAAGATATGTAAAATGTGAGGAATTTTTTAAATGATTTGCACAAATACTTAAAAAAAWTTTTTTGTAGTTGTAGATGGACAGAATGCCTTTATTTTATTTATTTTTATGTGATGCTAAGGATCAAACCCAGTGCCTCACATATGCTAGGCAAGCGCTCTGCCAATGAACTATAGCCTCAGCCCAATGTGAGGATTTTTTAAAGAAGAAAGTAGCATGTAGCCAGGTATGGAGGTACATACCTGTAATCCCAGTTACTCCAGAGGCTTAATCAATAGGATCACAAGTTCAAGGCCAGCCTGGGCAATTTAGTGAGACCTGTCTCAAAATTTTTTAATAAGGGTTGAGAATGCACTTAGTGATAGAACACTCTCCTAGCATGCATGARGCCCAAGGTTCAATCCTCAATACAAAAAAAGGGAGGAGGAGGAGGAGGAGGAGAAGACAATAAATCTAATTAAACAGACATTACCTACAGTAAATTTTTTTAAATGATTTGTTTCTTTGTCTCATGATATGATTATTTTTATACTTTCTGTTTCTTTTTCCATTAATACTTCCCTGAACTGTCTGAAGCCTTCTTTAATATAGTGGTAAAACTGAATACAGTCAAACAAAATTAATTTGACTTAAAGCTCTGCTCTTCTGCCTATATGGCACTGATTCCTGTTGTCAGTTACAAAGTTATGACATTAAGCTAGATTTTCTCTCAATAAGGGTGTTTGAGTATAGAATACTTAGGATTTTATTTACTAGCACTTGCAGAAGTTCATTTCCAGCGCTCCAAAGTATCCATCCACTTTGTGTGTACAGTCAGTCAATTGAGTTCTTTGCATCTATAAATTGACTATGTAGGCTCTCTGTATCTGAAATTCCTTTCACTTTAAAAACACTAGGACCACATTGMATGTCCTCATCTTTTCTGCAGGGAAAATGGTTTTTAAGCACAAACATAATATGAAATTGTGAAATTGGAGTTAGATTTCAAATAAGTTTATAGTTTGAGTAAAGAAATTCAGAAAGTTTTGTTAAACTTTGTTGCCTTTTTCTGGGTTTGGGGAAACCCTTATTTTCAAGAAATTCTTTTTTTTATTTTTCTGTTTTTGAAGATTTTTTGCCACCTTCAATAACACTGAACAACTCAAGTCAGTTCTCCTTTTCTGCAATTCTTATGGCCTCTTCAAAGACTATCTGTCCTCTCAGTTTTGCATTACAGGCCTTATACACATGCATGTGAACACCTCAGCCCCCACATCCACATCTATCTCTGTAGTTATCTATTGAGAAATTTTGTTTTGTTTTTGTTTTTTAATTGGAGATTGTACCCAGGGCCTTGTGTATACTAGGCAAGTGCTCTACCACTGAGGTACATCCCCAGACCACTCTTGATATAGACTGTGGCATAGTCCATACTTGGGAAGAGACCCAAGAAAGAGACCTGCAAGTGGACTCAGCACTGTTTAAGCAGAAAATGTGGGGTTCCAGGTACCTTCTGGGTGGCCTAGGAGTAAATACAGACTCCAGGTAGATTCATTCTCTTGGCTCCCACGGGGGACTTCACCTTGTGATGATGGCCCACTGGAGGAAGAGGCCAGAATGAATTTTTTCAGGCAAGGGGCAGAAGAAAACAGACTTTGAAAATCAGGAGTCCAAGGCAGAAACCACTCTTACCCAGATTCAAGGACAGTACCATATGAGACAATAAGCTTACCTTTTTTTAAGGAGGATGGAGGTTAGGGAGGAGGAAGTGTTCTATGCAAGAGGCTGAAGATGTAAGGTTCAGGAAAGTTTGAGAGTACAGCGAAATATGAATTTGAAAGTATGCAATAGATTCATGGTGAGGTTAACTGACCTCAAACTTGCAAATAGAACTCTGAAGTCAAATTTGGGCACACTCAATAGTCACAGTGGATTCAGCCTTTGTAAGATCTATTCTATCTAAAATACTCTTATGATTCTGCTCCCGATTTGATAGACTTCTTATGGTTTTAGCTTAAATTTTCATTTCTTTTGGAGGCCTCCTCCCAATATCTGATTAATGTGTTCTTTTTCCTCTTAGATTTTCCCAAAGAGTCTATAACCATCCTTTTGTTATATCTAAATGCACTCATTAAGTGTCCATATCTGTTTTCCTGATTATTCAGCCCAGTTTGTGAGAATATTTGTCTTGTCCAGTGTCATATCCCTAGCACCCATAAAGTAATAAGAACACTTCGAGTGATCAATAAATATTTGGTGAATTAATATTTTGGCTACATGGTGCTTGAGTGGCATTGCTTTGAGATGGCTAAATCCAAATTGAATATCAGCCTTTTGATATCCTTCCATTTCAAGTTATTTCATTTTGCACATATTTTTCCAGAGTCAATTATTCAGACAAAGGTGATTTATTTTGATACCCAAAGCACTTTATAAGACTCTCTAAAAAAGTCTAAAATTATTCTGCTGTCCTAATATTTTATACTGTCATCCTTTTAGAAAATAAAAAGGCTTGGATTACATTGTGGAAAAATCTCTTCATTACATGTAAAACATTTTTGCTGTTATCTATAGTTAAGGCGACAAAAGAACAATTGCAAGGAAGAGGAACAGTCCTAAGAATGTTTTCGTTGGTATCTATCCACTTCAACCCCAAGAGATAAAGGCAAAGATTAAGGCTCTAAGATGCTAGTAGGTGTCTGGTACTTTCTTGATGCCCAGTCAGTCCAAACAGATAACTCATTTGACATATTCAAACCACTCTTTGAATCACTGGTGGTTAGATCACCCAGTGCAAGGTCATGCCTGCTGTTAAAATGAATTGGAGATTAATCAACAGGACTGCCATTTGAGAATTTCCTCCAAGGCTGCTTTGAAGAAAATAACATTGGTCTTGATGAGTAATCCTGAATACAAGTCCATAAATATTGGGGCATAGCCTGTATGCCACTAAAAATAACAAAGGTTTCAGGACTGGAGACATTGTCAACCACACTGTCATGAAAATCTATGGCTCCAGGACTCAGTGGAGGTGGGCCAATATTTAACCGGTGACCTTGACAGAAGGAGCCTGTGAGTACTTCAGCCTCAAATACATAGATCAGCTCATTTGTAGCATAGATTTTCTTGGCTTGGTCTGCTAGTGTTTTGAGGTTCTTGATGAAGTATATGCCAGCTCCATACTTTGAGTCTGAGGAAAGGAAAAAAGTTAGAAGATTATTATGATCTGGCAAATGTTATTGCCTATTTGGGTATTATAATATATTCTCTCTCTAGTCCTTCAAATAATCACCTCCTCCTTGTTCCAAGTCCCTAAGTCTGTAGCCACGTTGTTCCCAGAGACAAATGATCACTGATATCAACATAATAATAGAATATATTTGAATATACCATTACAGTTTATAGAGAAGTCTTTGGCTTTCCAAGAATTTTTATGCTGATTAGATTCAATCAATCTAGGATTTGAATTATTATCTCTATTTAAAAGATAAAAAAATCTGAGATTCAGAGAAATTATGATTCAAGTCAACATTAACCAAGCATCTGACATCTAACGTAATAAATGGAAAGTTTTATTTATCTTAGACATTGCCTGACTTCTACAAGCTATAAACTGTAACAACTCTTGAGAATAAGGCTTCAATCCAGGTAAGGTGGTGCATGCCTGCAAACCAAGCAACATGGGAGGCAGGAGGATTGCAAGTTCAAGGCCAGCCTCAGCAACTTAGTGAGACCCTGTCTCAAAATCAAAACAAAACAAAACCAAAAAAAGAGGCTGGGGGGCTGGGATTGTGACTCAGTGGTAGAGCCTAGCATGTGTGAGACATGGGGTTTCATTCTCAGCACCACGTATAAATAAATAAAGATCCATCAACATGTAAAAAAATTTATTTAAAAAGGGGGAGGGGTGCTGGGGATGTAGATAAGTGGTAAAGCACCCCTAGGTTCAATCCCCAGTACTGYCTGGAAAAACACGGCTTGAAAAATAGCATCTAATAAGAGTAGTCAAAGTCATGGACACATTACAAGAAAAATAAGTCATATAAAATGTTAATGCCTCATTATTTAGGAAAAGCAACCTTGGATTTGAGGGACACAGAGATTCTAATCACTAGTAAGGTATTCTGTACTACAGGGCAGGTGTGGTCATCAGATCTCATCATGACCTGGCAAAATAACTGACCAAGAATCCTCCACATGCTTCTGATTTATGTTCCTGCTCATCATTCATCAGGCATTCTGGAGACTGTGATACTAAGAAGGATAGGCCTGATTCCAACCACTGAAAATGAATATTCTCCATTCTAGCATATTGTTTTTGATCTATATTACTTTTTTCTTAATATATATGTTTTAGTTATAAATGAACACAGTATCTTTATTTTATTTATTTATTTTTATGTGGTGCTGAGGATCAAACCCAGTGCCTCACATGTGTTAGGCAAGCACTCTACCACTGAGCCACAACTCTGGCCCCTTAATCTGCATTACCTTTACAGTAATATTTCAAGGACACCCAAGAGACTGAGGGCCAGATTCTGAATCTCAAGGTAATCCCTGTGCAATGCCCTTTCTAACATTGCTTAAAGGTCCTTGGAGGAGTAGATCACAAGCTTCAAATGTGAGAGGCCCTGGGTTCAATCTCCAGCACTGAAAAAAATAATAACTTTACTGAGAGGAAAAAACAAACTTATTTGAAAAGCTATATTCTATATTATCATTCCTTCCTTCCTTTCTTCTTTCCTTCCCTTTTTTTTTCTACACTTAATATTGTTTTGGGCTCAAGACCAGCACTGAAAAATAAAAATGCAATATGAGCCACATATATAATTTTAAATTTTTTAGTAGTTACATTTAAAAGGGTAAGAAGAAACAGACGAAATTCATATTTATTTAACCCATTAAATTTAAATGCTATTTCAACATTTAATCAATATCAAACTATATTTTACATTCTTTTGTAATAATTCTTTGAAAAATCCTGTATTTTATACTTAAAGTGCATCTCAATTCAGACACGCCATATTTAATATGCTTAGTTCCATACGTGGCTAGTGTCTACCATATTGAATAGTATAGCTCTAGAATTCAAAAGTGACTGAGATATGATTTCTGATTTTAAAATTTCACAAAGGCACCTGGACCTTCCTACATGTAAACAGAGTGTAGTATAATTTTGTGTGGCAAGGTAATATTTTGAGATAAAAAAAATCAAAGATTTTCTTTCTCAAGAGTTTCTTCTTATACATATCAAAATTATAAGGAAATATCATTTCTTTACCTAGGATGAAAACATGAACAAGGGTTTTGAGTACACTGCTGGTGGGAATACATATGGGCCAATTTCTATGAACAGTTTATTAAAACTGGTTCAAATTTACAATGAACACAGCATTTTATCCAGCAATTCTATTTTTGAGTTTATATTAATATTGTGCCTTTGGAAGATCTACAAATACTTTTTCATTGCTGCTTGGGTGGCTGAAGGCAAGTGAGATGGATTAGTTTTTTTAATTATATACTTAATTTCACACATAGGCATTTATTTGTATTATCAATTTGAAATAAAAATAGTGAAAACAGGAAAAAAAAAGAGTTTTTTCTTGGGGCTGGAGTTTTGGCTTGATGGTAGAGCATTTGCTTAGCATGTGTAAGGCACTTGGTTTGATCCTCAGCATCACATTTAAAAAAAAAAAAGTATTGTGTCCATCTACAACTAAAAAAATTTTTTTTAATTAAAAAAGGTAAAAATCTGAAGGATTCAAAGCATGTAGTATTTACTAATAATAATAAGACAGAATAATATAAGATAATCCAAGAGCAATTTTCTCACTTCAGGACAAATAAAATTTCTTCCTTCCAGCTATTGAAAGAGAGGAATCATAAAAGATATAACTGGAGCTCTTGGGAACTTTGAGAAGGGGCTCACTTCACTGTCCCATTCCCTCAAAAGAGCCCTGGGAGTCAAGATAGGGCTGAACAATAGAAATCACAGAACAATTCGCAGGATTCCCAGGGCAGAAGAAGCCATTGCCTGAGTGCTGGGTGCACTCTCTTATCCAGCCTCATGCCTGAGTAAAGCATAGCAATGCTGGGGAAGACTCCAGAACAGGTGAGTTAGTTACCATACATGGTGGCCAGACGAGACCCTGCTTTCAGCTTGGAGGATAAACACGCTCAAATAATCATAGTACTTCAGGAGAAGCACAGATATAGCATGAAAAGGAATTTCCTCAGGGGAGACACAGAGTGGCAGATGCAGAGACTAAGTGCAAAGGGCACAAGTGGAGGCTAATGACCATAGTCCACAGGGCTTATCTGACAGGGGGCACGGAGACAGAACAAGAGACAGGCAACCCTCTCCACAATGCCTCTGACACCATCTAGATCAGTCTCAGAGAGAAAGGGAGAAAAAGGACAAAATAGCAGGAACTCAATTAAAGCCCTGAAGGGACTAAGAAATTTCTCAAAATAACCAAGTTCAACTTGAATTGACAAGTTCTGGTTTTTCATATCTTTGAACATGGAAGCTTGACAGGCGAAGTTCTGCTACAGAGCCATAAAGAAAATAATTCCCACACCTATAAATTATAGTGGTTATTAAACATACAGATATTGCAATAAAAAGGCAGGAAGTATGGGAATATAGAGGAAGGGGCCAACCAGGAGAGGCCATTTGAGCAAGGTCTTTTTTTTTTTTTTTTTTTTTGATGCAGGGGATTGAACCTAGGGCCTTGTAACAGATGAGGCAAGCACTCTACCAACTAAGCTATATCCCCAGCCTTCAGCTATCTCTTAAAGAAAGAATAGGAGCTTGAGTAGCTCAAAAGGCTGAAGAGGGAAGGCCTTCCAAATTCAAAGGCATAGAGGCTTGGAAGTATCCCGTTTACTTAAGAGAATATGGTCTTGGAATTCTGGTTTTCAGAGTTAAGTATTCTTAGAAGAAAAAAAGCTCATGGCTAGAGGGTTAAGAAACATAGGGGATGATGAATCTGGTGGAAAATGTGGGATTTTCCTATATGCTCTACTAAGGAGTTTGGGCTTTTATAAATAACTAGGAATATAGATAGTAAGCAAGAACATAATTTTTTATCATAACTAGCCTAGTGCTACAAAGGGGTTTGTTTTGAGGCAAGGGAAGGACAATAGTCTAGGCCTAAGGAAAGAAAGACTAAGGCATCTTAGTTAGAATAGAGAAGTGAAGTGGATTGAGACTATTATTTTATTTATTTTTATGTGGTGCTGAGGATAGAACCCAGTGTCTCACACATGCTAGGTAAGTGCTCTACCGCTGAGCCACAACCCCAGCCCTAGATTAAGACTATTATGAGACTTGAATCACGTGGACCAGTATGAGGGCGAGGCAAAGGAAAGAATGGAGGATGATAATAACTTTCATGCTTGGGAGACCWGGTAGGTGGATGGTGATGGCATTAGCCAAATTAGGAAGTAAGAAAACATAAGGCATATTTCTTAAGGAAAAGCAAGGGCAAGAAAAGCGTTCAGTTTAAGATGCCTATGGGACAGCTAGATAAAAATGTCCCCCAAATCAGTCAACTATCTAGACCTGCACATTAGGAGAAATGGGGGTTAGAGTGAGAAATTTATAAGTCATCCTCTTAGAAAGGGGAGTTGAGGCCATGGGAATAGGTGCCATCACCCAGGGGACACTGTGGAGGAAAAAAAAAGTAGACTTCCTTCAGAATGTAGGAGAATACCACCATTTAAAGGGTGGACTCACTAGATGATAAATTATAAGGGCAAGAAGTCTTTGCTTTTCACTTACTGCTGCTATATCTCTTACACCCCAGCCCAAGGCCTGATTCATGGAATGTGCTTAAGGAATGTGCAATGAATGAATTACGATAATAAGGGAACTGCACATGTGTAGGCTACTTTTTGTTGCATTCAACCAAGTCCTGCAAGCAAGGGATGAACCCAGAATATGACTGGCTGGAATGCAAGTATAGAAAGAAAAAAAAATAAAGTTTTACTAGCAGAAGCCTCCCCTGCCTATGGCTGACCACTTAAATTGACTGAGAGAACACTGTAAGGCTGAAAAAGTTAGAAGCTTTCATACTCCAAATGAGAACAGCTTCAGTAGTGATAAGAGGGGTGTCTCCTGGGCTTGTCTAGAACCTTCAGTTTATAGAGTTTTCACAACTCTACAGAGATGAGTCCATTGGTGCAGGTTACATTATGGGTTCTGTCTCCCCAGGCAGTTTTCTTTCTGAATGACCTCTAGGCAGTGATCATGAAGCTAATGGGCAGAGGGTGGGCAAGAGCACAAAGGCCAATAGAAAAAAACAATTCTTGAGGCTTAAAGACTATATGGAGGGCTGGGGATATAGCTCAGGGGTAGAATACTTGTCTGACWTGGACAGGCCTGATTTCTATCAGCACTGAAAAAAAAAAGAAAAGAAAAGAAAGAAAGACTATATGGAGACAAGATCTTCCTTAGATTATGAAGACATACAGTTGAACAGAAGGGAATAAACTCCATGCCTGCTAAGCTTTTAAAAAAGGAACCATATTGCTGAAGAAATCACAAGTCTGGATGCATCAGCCTGAGAATGTTCTAAAGTTTGAGGCAATCCAGRCCCCCCTGGTAGGCAGTGGGCCTAAAAATGGTCAAGGGCCACAACATACAAGGAAGATTTTTCCCAAGTGTGAAACAAGGGTCTTATGCCACTCCCAGAGGAAGCTCTCATACATTCCCGTCCAGCAGCACATAAGTACTGTGGGCAGTGACTATGACATGTTTTCCTTTTCCTCTTTCATATGAGTTTTCGATATAGTCTTCCTGCTACTTCTCACATCATTATCTAATGAGCACGTGCGAGCAATACCTCTCCATCACACCTTAAAATAAAACAGCCTGAGCTAGAGGCTGATGAAGAGGAGACGGGATAAGACTTTGGGTTGGCCTTGTTTTGGTGTGCATCTTAGATGTTTTGGGAAGAAAGATATAAATTGATGTTGGATTAGAAATTAGCAGTGCCAGGCACAAGACTGAAAAGAGGGTCCTCATCAGATTTAGAAAATAGGAAGATCTTGATGAGAGTAGTTGTAGCTGAAATGGTATGGGGAGTGTAGAGAAACCAGTTAAGGAGCAAATGGAAGTTGTAGCTTTAATACTGTGGCTATGAAGGAAACTTACTGCTTCCCTTTCCCTGACTGCACTCAAAAAAAAAAAAAAAATTCTTGGTGGAAATTCATTATCTATTTCTTTCTTTTTTTTTGTTTCTTTTCTTTTCTTTTTTTTTTTTGTACAAAAGGATTGAACTTAGGAGCACCCAACCATTGAGCCACATCCTCAGTCCTATTTTGTATTTTATTTACAGACAGGGTCTCACTGAGTTGCAAAGCACCTCATCATTACTGAGGCTGGCTTTGAACTTGAGATCCTCCTGCCTCAGCTTTCAGAGCCGCTGGGATTACAGGCGTGCATTTATCTATTTCCAACCCCAGGAATTGTCTATATTCAATTTTCACTCCTGGTATTACCTATGTTCTCTTTTGGACAAAGGAAATGTGATTTTTAGATCTTTTGCTTTCTAGGAACAGAGACTATTAGAACTGGCTCCACAGCAAGAATCATGCTACAGTTTTAAAGATCACATGGTTTTTGGTTATCTTTTTTCTTTCTTTCTTTATTTTTATTTTTATTTTTTTGGTGCTGGGGATTGAACTCAGGGCCTTGTGCATGTGAGGCAAGCACTCTACCAGCTGAGCTATATCCCTAGCCCCAAAAGATCACGTTTAATGGACCAGACAAAACCAAGTTACACTGCTAAAGACCCATCCATGATTATGACTTACGTTCTTAGCCTCCTTTGGAGAGATCTAAAGCCAGAATTTTTCACTAGCAACTGAAGAGGAAAAGGTACAATATAGAGATTATCTAATTTTGTACAACTGAAAAGAGACATGGAAGCTACACAGAGGACTCTGAGAAGGATCCTAAAATGCTATTCACTTCACTTGCCAGGTTATTCTTAATTCATTCGCTAGCAGGCTATAGGAAATAAGAGGATAAAAACMAAAAAAAATAAAAACAACTGTCCTTTTTTCCTTTTCTTTTTTGAGATGGGGTCTTGCTCTGTTGCCCAAGTTGGTCTTAAACTTTTGGGCTCAAGCAATCTCTTGCCTCAGCCTCCCTAGTAGCTGTGGCTACAGGTGCACACACCAGCAAGCCCAGCTGAAGACCAACTATCCTAAATTTAGGAAAATATCCTTTTAATTAAAGGATGAGGATCATACATTGGTCTTGATTATAATTTTATTAAGATAAATAAGCCAAAAGGGGAGGGGGACCCCCAAAGTGTTTTCTGCATATAGGACACAGAAACAGAAATGAGAAAAAAACAGTAAATCAAAAATCCTACTGCTCACATTATTGTCAAAATAAGCCCATCGTCAACAAAAGACATATCAACAAAAGATATAAAGAAAATTAAAAATACAACCCTTTCTAAGACTACCTCTCAATTGCAGTCACAAATGATCCCCTCCCCAAAGCAACAAATGCTATTGGTGGTGAGCCACCTGCTGATGTCTGGTCTCACCAATTTCCACATGATCAGGGCTGACACCTACCAAAAGGCACTGAGTACAAACTTTGAAAGCCGACTCTGCATACCACATTGCAGAACTGGTGTGGAACCTGCTGAAACAACCTGTGGCTCACAGGCTCTTTAGAAGTTCTCCCTTCCATCGTTTTCTTCTTTCTTTGGAAGGCAGCCTGAAGAACCGCATTGTCTATTGCTTCCACCTAAAACCAAAGGGGGAAAAAAAAAAAACTGGGCACCTATTCAATTGCCTCTTGAACTTATAAAGGCATTTATATGCACATTACTTTCATGCAATTTGCTTTTTATATAAAGTTGCATAACAGTCTCTCCTGCCCCTAATCCTTTCTTAGTTTTGACTTCTACCTCTCAAAATCCTCTGTTACTTCTTCAATTGATTCATGCAATAAAATTTCATTGGGCAATCACGATATGTTAGGCACAGGTAACAAAAACATTGACAACAGACATAGTGTCTTGTCATGAGCAAGTCATGGGCTGTGTGTGTGAGCTATGAGCATTTGAACACATGAGGGGACTGAACTGATGTTGCTGTTCTGACTGGGCTGTGTTATGTATGTGTCCTTTTCCATCGCTCTGCCTTTGATCCTACACAGCACCAGGCTTTTCCAGGTGTCAGTCAATCTGCTGAGCACAAGACATCACCAAGCAACCCCCTGAAACCCAATCCTTTGCCTTATTAGGATTGAACTTCCTCGAATGTCTTCCCCCCAAAAATAGGATGCTCTCAGGTGTGCTGTCTCTCTTTCCGAGGGACCCTTAAGGTCAAGAGACGTCCCTGATTCCTGCAAGCAAAAGGTATTTCTGTGTGTTGAGTGCTTCTTTCACCATTTTCTTGGCCAGTTCTGTGAACCCAGCTCAGGTAGCCGGCCCAGCTAGCTGGCGATAGAGTCTACCCTTTTAAAGCTCATAGCTTAGTGAGAGATAGAAATAGTTAACAATTATAGCATGATAAACACTATTCTATTTTCTTTCGTTTTGATCAAAGATAGGGAGATCACTGCTTCCTGGATCTTGAATCTATGCTTCTGAACAGCCAAACATCATTTCTACATACTGATTCATCTATACCCCTTGTGCCTGCCCTTCTTCCAGTCTTACTCCTAGGATTCAGGRCCATTGAGCAGCTAGTTTAAACTCTTTGTTAAACGAGCTTCTCTTCTGGCTACAGAACCAAGTAATTAATACCAAGAGAAGCCAAATCTATGCCTTGATTAGGTATACCTTTATAACCTGAAAACCATGTTTTTCAAACTGTTTCTTTCGATCCAGAAGTTCTTCAGTCCAAGGTGCTTGATATCGTAGAAATGTGATTTTTTTTTTCATTTCATCCTGGTTTTTTGTTTGCTGATCAGTCCATTGTCCTAAAAATGAGTAACACAAAACCTTGTCTTAGCGCTCTGTGAGAAGGGAAGAGTTTGTAAAGGGATTTAATGAAACAATTCCTAGAAATTTGAAGAAAGAGATAGGCTAGTTTAAAGCATATGCCTCATATTGTCTATGTTATGCTCGAATTCGGGACTCCCAAAAGACCACCAGAGACCAAGATCAATGTAAGCAGCAAAGAGGTGTTTATTGCGAGCTASCTTGTTCCTCAGCACGCACACAGCAACTGGTGATGCTGAGAGGCCCTGAGCCCAGGGTTTACAGCAGTTTATAAACTCTTTGGGGAAGTCAGGGACTTCACATACATCATAGCATCTCTTAGCAAATCATCACACACGGTGGGAAAAATCATAAAACAACTCTAAAATATGATTAGCATATTCACTGGCGGGAACAAGTTGGGTAGGGGTGATTGGTTAGTACAAGAGGGGGAATTCGTTTAAACTGATTGGTTTAAGCCACGAGGGGAGTAGTGCTGAACTACATGGTTTCCCAACATGTTATCAAGCACCATAAACTACTGGGAGGGTCATCTGGCATCCCAGGTATTTTCCCTGTCTCATGCTGATTGGTGTCTGCTAGGGGGTTGCTCTGGGTGCCCACCTAGCCTGACTGAGTCAGGGACACCCAGCGCAACAGACCTCTCCTGTTATTTGTAGATAAACAACTCAGCAGGGTGGGTATGGGCTAGGAGTGCTCAGTGAGTCTTTCCAAGGACAAGGGTCACGCCCCCTTTCTTGGACAGGCTTTGCTCTGAGATAGAGGCTGGTTTTTCAATAGCACTCTCATCACTGAAATAATTGGCACAATTTTGTAAATAAGGAAATCAAAGTTCAGATAAATAAATAACTTTTCTAATATCACAAAGCTAGGAAGTAAGGATCTAAGATAGTAAACCTGACTTTCACAAGTGCTTTCTTTAAGGAGACAAGGAGAATAGTGGGAATGTGTAGCACTCATAAACAATCCCAAGCAAGAAGAAGGAAATTTGAAGATTAAGAATCTATGGTTCAAGGGAAACAGGGTGACCTTTCTTCCCCACCCTAGACAGAGTTATCTGTCCCTGAGTACACACCCACCATAGAAATGAAGTAATCCAGACTTTGGGGATGGCTCCAGAAGATCTCAGAAATGGCTATCTCCCAAATTAACAAGCAGATTACAACTCCAACAGAGAACACATAGAATGTAGCTTTGCAGTACCCTTTTTTTTTTTTTTTT